AGCAAGAGACAAACGCGTTGGCGGCCTCAGCAGTAACAGCAACAGCAGAAGAAACAGGGAAGAGGGGGCGAGCGCTCTTCTCTTTGGATTAAGGGGGAAAGAAATCTATGCTGTGCTGTTACAAAATAACTTGAGCCTCAGCATCAGCTTGACTGGGGAGAGGTAAGAGAAGAGTGAGGAAGAGAGAGCGAGCAAGAGCTAAAAAGAGGGAGAGAGAGAGAGAAAGAAGGGGAGGAGAGAAGAGAGAGGGAGAAAAGCGGGGGGTGGGAGACGGAGAGAGAGAGAAAAGCAGAGAGAGAGAGAAAGAGAGAGAGAGAAGAGAGGGGAGAGGGGAGAGGAGAGAGGAGAGGGGGGGGGAGCAGGAGCAGAGGGAGGCAGGCGTCGGAGAGCTCCGCTGGGGGCATCTTTTCACACGAGCAGACCAGTGCTTAGAGAGGAACAGAGGCTACAGAGGAGCTGGAGAGCTGGAAGGGCGGGTGGGAGGGGGTGTCGCAGCCTGGGCTGGGGGCGCGGGGGGGTGGGAGGCTGATCGAGAAACAGAAGTGATGAGAAAGCAAGCAGGAGGGTTGGAAACCAGCGCTGCTGCTACTGCGTTGTACCAAGAAGACGAGGAGGTGGAGGATTGCCGCTCCTGCCCCTGCGCCGGCTGCGATTCGTCGGGGATTCAGAGGCTGCAAGCGCTTGGCATTCCCTTGCTACAGCGGCCCCGGCTGCTTCTGCCCCTGTCCCTCCGCCTCCCGTAGGGATCATGGAGACCGTGAACTGCACGGGAGGCAGCGGCAGCAGCGGAGGCACTGACGTGAAGCAGCCACCGCACGGCCAACACCATCCTCGCCACCACCATCATCACCCGTTGGCGGAGAAGAAGCGGCTGCACCGCACCCCCTCGCCCGCCAGACCTTTCTTGAAAGACCTTCATTCTCGGGCTCCGGGTCCAGCCCCTGCCGCCTCTTCTTCCACCTCTAGAGCTCCGGCGACCGCGCCGTCAGCACCCAAATCCCCGAGTCTCTCGGGCAAGGCGCATCCTAGTCCATCGCAGGCGCCGCCGTCCCCAGGGCTGCTGGCCACCCAGAGCCGCCTCTCCCGACGCAGTGGGGGCGGCCAACTGGGAGCTAAGGACAAGGGGGTGGGAGCCGGGAGCAAGCAGGGAGGCAATGCCAAGCCCTCCCCTTGCAACAAGAAGGCAGCCCGGGCGCCAGCGGGAGAACAGCCGTCGAAAGCTGGAAAGCAACAGCCGCAGCCTCCGCCGCCACTTACAGGTGGGGAACAGGGACCCGCTTCTGCTAAAGGCCGTAAAGGCAAGCGAGGTTCCGGGCCCCAAGGGACTACAGCCCAGACTCCGGCCCCTGTCTCGCCTCCCGTTGTCTGCTCCTTGACCAGCCCAAGCCACTCAGCCCCCACTACCCAAGCCCCCAACTTCTCTGGCTCCCTGGCTCTGGGCTCCCGCAACAGCCACACAGACAGTAGTTCGGACCTGTCAGATTGCGCCTCTGAGCCCCTGTCTGACGAACAACGCCTGATTCCGACTGCCAGCAGCGATGCTGAGTCGGGCACCGGCTCCAGCGATCGGGAGCCCCGAGGAACCCCTACCCCTAATCCCAGCGGGAAAGCGGGACCTCCTAGCAGCCCCGAGCCCCTTGGACCTCAGTACCCTTCTTGTGCCTCCCCCGGGAGCGGGGGCGGCAGGGCCAGTCCTTCAGTGGCCCCCCCTGGTCTGCTAGGGCCTGGAGTGGGGGAGGATGCTGGGGGGCGAACCCAGCCTAAATCGACCTCCGGGAGGGGCGGCCCGGGAGAAGACGGAAAAGGGAGGCCTGGCAGCGGCGGTACCAACCAGGCACCCAGCCCGTGTGAGCTGCAGCAGCTGGTGCTAGCGGAGGAGGAGGAGGAGCTGCTGCGGGAGATGGAGGAACTGCGCTCAGAGAACGACTATCTCAAGGTGAGCGGGGCCGAGGAGAACAGGGCTAAGCTTGTAGGTTGGTGGGAGTGGGGAGCTTGTTGATCACATCCTGGCCCCTCAGAGCTCCTCCCTCCCAGCCCGCGCTGCTTGGTGCGGGAGGGGCGGACTAGCAACCACCGCTCAATTTAAAAGGCTCCGATAATCCTTCCTACTCTACCCTACCCTACCCTCTTCTCTTTTCTTTTCCCTCTCCTACACATCCTAATACTTAACTTGGGCAGAAAACTGTGGAAGAAGAGAGTGGGGGGAGCTCGGGGGTGGGTAGATGGGAATTGCTCTTGGCAGGTTTTCTAAACCTTTTCATTTCTCTTCTTCCTGGCCTTCTGCTTCATGCTAATACATCTTCACACCCTGGACAGTTGTATTAGCATTTCCCCATAAATTAATGAGCAGCAAAATCACTGCAGGCCCTCATTTCTACCTGGTTTAAAAAAAAAAACAGAGAAAAGGAAATTTGTGTTCACATTCTATCGGGGAAAATATATATTTGTGTTCCCGAAAGTAATTGCGGATTAGAGGTAAAACCACTTGTAGGTTTTAGCGTTTCTATGACGAGGAGACTTGCAGACCAAGGATCGGCCTTCAATGCAGATACGAATTGTACCTGTGATTTTATTGGTATGGAGAGCTTGCTAGTGAAGCAACTCTCTCTCCCGAGGCAGGTCTGCACTTTTCTCTGCATTCTCTGCCTAGCGGCACTGAGAGGTTAAGTGACTCACCTAGAGTCACACAGCCAATATGTGTCAATGGAGAGCCCGGAATCCAGATCTTTCTATTAACTAGGATAGCACTCTATCCACTTAGCTGCAGAATCCCCCATCAATAAAGGAACACTCTGCTCTGATCCGGCACAAGGATGAACAGACTGAAAGGAAGGATGCAAGACCAGGGCCGGTGGTGGTGTTTTAACTAGACAAACCGTGTAAGGAAGCCTGGAAGCCTCGAGTATCACAGGAACTGTGAGACAGTTGGATTTAGTTGGTGTGTAGTTATGAGAGGAACCCCAAAGTTGTATTTTTCTTTTATCTGCCAAGAGAAGCTTCTGTTTTCTGTTACACACAAATACTGCACTTTCCAGGGAATAGCCACTTCCATCTGCCCCCAGCTGCTGTATCTTTAATTTCCCCCCCTGCATTGTCTGAAAATGGAAACTGCATAACAATAGTCCCACAGTTACTCTGTATAATAGCTTATAGTTTGTCTCTCTGGCTTTTCACAGAAGCTGTTAGGGCCTGGCCTTCAGGAAGGAATATCTAAATAATAGTTACTGAAAGCAGGGAACATTTGCATAACCAGCCAGTCTGAATGCTATTTAGACAGTAAAAAGATGGAAAAAAGAGGAAATAAAGATTTTGTTAATATGATCTTTGTCAGTTGCTTTGGACCTTCAATTTATATTACCAATAGCAGAAATAAATACTGTGATCTTAATATATAATCTTCCCAATCCAAAAACGATCACCCCACCCCCATCCCATCTAATCAGACATTCAATTAAATTTTTTTCCCTAGTAGCAGTGATTGCCTTGCACTGATTCATCCACACTCTCTGGAGCTGTCTTATAAACAGGGACATATATTCTCAAGACAGCTTATATGTGGCTGGAGACAATGTTTCAGTCTAAACAAAAACAGAGTGGAATCATAATGAACTGGAAAGACTGCAGAAATGGGAATCAGAAGACCTGGATTTTCATCCTAATTTTTCCATGAACTGGATATGTGACCATAAATAAATCACATAATCTCTCAGGGCCTCAGGATCCCACTCTAAAGGGATCTTTATGGTCCCTTCCAAGTCCCTAGTCTATTAATTAACTTGTCCATACATGTATTAAATCTACCAAAATGGACCTTTTAGCAGGTGCTTTAACCAAGTGAGTTAAATAATGATAATCTTCATTAATATTAATGAAAAAAAAGGAAGAGTATGGAAAGTGGGGCTCTGAGAGCTTAGGGGGAGAGGTGTCAAAAGGGAAGTTAAATGATTAATAAAAATATATATACCTCTTTGTATTGGCCACAAGGTGAAGTTCAAAAGGTAACAAGCAAAAAGAATAAAGATATTATATGTCATCTTAACATAAATACTGAACTTTCTTCCTTCTAAAATTTTTTCAGGATTGGTGAGCCCTAAAAGCACACAATCGTGAGAAAACCCATTTTCTTTTAAAAAAAAGATACTCACCCTTAGTTCTTGGTTTTTAAAAGAGTCAGTTTTCCATGATTTCAGGATTCATTTTTGGGTATTTATTTTTTGTGTCTTATTTTGGACATCTTTGCTCTGGTAACTTTTAGTATAGTTGATTCTCCCATGACTGCAGTGTAGCCATCCATTTCTAGGATGTCTGGTCTTGTCCAGGGACAAGCACTAAGGATAGTCTTTTGGGAACATACTAATTTAAAAAAAATTTTTTAGTTATTTGAACTACTCCCAATACCAACTTTCCTTAGGGGCTTTTGTCTTCTTTCTAGTTGGCTACCTTATAATGAACACTCTAGGCAGGATGTGTACAAATGGCAGGCCAGATCCCAGAGGAAATGGCTAATTTGTTGAAAATGATGTACTCTCTAAGGTATATTCCAGGACCAGCCATGACCATCCATATGACCAATTTCCCATTATCCCCTCTGCATAGAGATGTAGGGGTTTAGAGATCTGATAGTTAGTTGTGAAATGAGAACAATAATATCATATGTGCATTTTAGTTAGACTTTTTGTTAATTCAAAGGAGGAAAAAAAAGCTAAATTTAGGGAGAAAATACAGCCTTGGGAAACTTTCTAAAGGTTTCTAAAATTTGCTTCTCCAAATCCGATACTTTTTGCTATGCTACATTGTCTCTCATATAGAAAACTATCATTTTTTCAAGTATTCTACATAGTTGTCCTTTGTGAGACGGGTTCACAATGAGTATTTGTCTATTAGCACATTATTTCGTAGCAAGAGTCCTATCTCCAATGAACTAGCTGTGTGATCTTGGGCAAGTCAATGGGTTATAATTTCCCCAACTATGCAATTGGAGAGTGGCTGGGCTAGATAACCTCTTAAAAAACCTTCTAGCTCTAACATTCTATGATTCTGTGATTTTAGTAGAACACTCTTGGTCAATTGTTTTTGTTTCTTAGCCTAGAAATTTTAGGCCTGGATATCCAGGAAAACTAAGAGCCTATAAAGTATTGGCTTCTTTTTTGAGGTAGGTCTTGTTTCTATGAAACTATCACAGTGGAGATCTGAAATGAATAAAAACTCATCAAGTAAAAGAATGAAACCAACAAACCCATAGAAAGAAATCTTATTGGGTTAATAAGTCCAAATGCAAGACAATTTTAAAAAACCATTTCAGCTAGCTCTAATTTTAAAGTGACAAATGTGCCTGTGTGCACTAAGTCCCTGAAGTTTTTCTGGGTTAGGTTGTACTTGATCCAAGAAAAGAAATCCCATGTCTCTAAATAGGGAAGGAAAGCTTATCAAAGTATATGTACTATGGGTAATAATAACAATAGCTAATATTTATGGAGTGTCTACTACGTGCCAGGTGCTGTGTTAAGTACTTTACAAATATTATCTTATTTGATCCTCACAACAAAATAAGGCTTAGGAAGGTTCAGTGCTTATTATGTCCGTTAACATACTAACTAGTGCTTTACTTTCTCATCTGCTTTTCATGGTGGCTTAAGCACTTTGTGTTTATGAGCATATCTAAGAAAAGCTGCCAATGCTACTTCACCATGTGCTTCCACCAACAACCCTTTCAAAGAATGGCCTGTGACAGTGCTTATCTTATATCCTTCAAGCATGGTGGAGTTTTTTGTTTGGTTATTTGTTGTTTTGTTTTGTCCTTGCTAGGGACTGACCCTGGCTTATCTAGGGTTAATCTGTTCTAGCTATGATGGTGGATGAAGTTGGATACAGGAAAAAAATTTTTTTTTTCTTAAGGGACTCTGCTTTCTACAGTAATTCTAGATGTAGTAAATAGTCATATAACATGCAGGTCCACAGAAATCTATCCTATGTTTGAGGTACTTTGTCATTCTCCATCCATTCAAAGCCTCAAACCCCAACTTGTTTACTTTTATTAACCCAGTCTCTCTCTCTCTCTCTCTCTCTCTCTCACACACACACACACACACACACATGCATCTATACACACATATTTCAAACAAAAGACCTTGAGTCAAACAGCATAGCAAAATTAATGATAAAAACATTCCTCCATCCCACAAAATAGTATTCACAGGGGTATTCTGTCACACAAATTGCCCCAACACTAGTGGGAGAGGGGACATACCTTGAGGATCACCTCATACTACCAATCTACTATGGCTTATGTTTTCTGATGATCATAGGAATGTAGATTTAGAGCTAGAAGGGGCTTAGCAGTAATTGAATCCAACTCCCTCATTTTGAGATGAGGCACAGAGAAGTTAACTGACTTGTCCGGAGTCACAGTTAATTTCTAAGGCAGATTTTGAATTCATTCATGTCTTCCTGACTCCATGTCCAGTGCTGTATCCAATTTGGTATGCTGCCTCATGTTATCATACTACTCTCCACTGGATTTTTTCCCACATCTGTTCTTTGCTAGGTGTCTTTGCAAAGCCACTTCTGGATTCTGCTGTCATGTCTTGCATTTTCTGATGATGTAGGAGCAGAATCATGTGCAGTAAAAAAAAAAAAAAAGTGCTAGACTTGGAGTTAGAGGATGCATGGTTTAAATTCTGGCTCTGTGACTTAATACAACATCTAGATGATGCAATGGCTAGAATGGCAAGCCTAGAGTCAGAAAGACCCGTTTTACTGAGTTCAAATCTGGCCTCAGACACTTACTAGTTGTGTGACCCTGGGCAAGTCACTTAACCTTGTTTGCCTCAATTTTATCATCTGTAAAATGAGCTAGAGAAGGAAACAGCAAACCACTGTAGTGTCTTTTGGCAAGAAAACCCCAAAGGGGGTCAAGAAGAGTCACACATGACTGAA